ACAAACATACTTCAGTCATCCATCCTTTCCTTTGTTGCAGTTTTTGTGTCCCTCCTCCATCCTGGCATGAGGCTGGGTGCAGAAACAATGGAGAACCCAACAGTCATGGTTCCTCCCCCACACAGCTTGCTGATTAGGGTGAGAAATGGACACTTGTCTCTGCAGCTCCCAAAGAAAGGGCACATTGCACTGCAAGGAGTTGTTTGTGCTGAGAGTGCGGGAAAACTATAGTGCAATGCCCCCTCCTGTGGTGAGCAGCAGGCCTTCTGGGAGTGGTGGAAGAACACTGCATGGGGAGCTTGGGGACAGCTGCACCAGACACATGAAGGCTGGCTTTTCCTATTAGGAAATCAATGGGAAACTCAAGAAGGGCTTGAACTTACCGAAAGCAAGGCTGTCAGCAGCAAAAGGAGGAGGGAATAATAACCACTCATTTCTTTCCTGCCCCCACCAAACCCTCAACCCCCTACCAAACCCCCACTCCTCACACCAAACCTCTCAACCCCTGGCCAAATTCCCACTCCCCACACCAAACCCCTCAATCCCCAACCAAACCCCCACTCCCCACACCAAACCCCTAACCAACCTCCCACCCCCCACCAAAACCTCAACCTCCAACCAACCCCCCCACCAAACCCCCAACCCCTGACCAAAGCTTCCCCATTCCCCTACAAAATACCTCAACCCCTGACCAACTCCCCTACCTCCCCACCAAAGCTTCAACCCAACCAAACACCCCACCTCCCCACCAAACCTTCAACCCCCCAACCAACTCCCCCACCAAACCCCTCAACACCTGACGAAAGCCTCCCCTTCCTCCACTAAACCTGCTCCATTTCTCATTTTACAGAGTGATCTGAACAGCCAGTAACTTAATCCAAACATCTGCATCAGAGGTTCTCAGCCTTCCTAATGCTGTGACCCTTTAATAAAGTTCCTCATGTTGTGGGGACCCCCACAATAGAATTATTTTTGTTGTTGCTTCATGACTATAACTTTGCTACCTACCATCATGGGCTGTAATGTAAATATCTGTGTTTCCTGATGGTCTTAGGTAACTGCTGTGAAAAGGCCATGCATCCCTTAAAGGGGTCACGACCCTCAAAGGGGTCACGACCCACAGGTGAGAGCCGCTGATCTAGATCACCATTCCTTGAAGTCTCCTTTTGTAGCTCCTACCCCACAGCTAATCCACAGCTTGCTTTTCTCCACTCTAGCCCTTAATTATTCCAGAACCCATTCAATTCTCCAGCTGTGCCACTAAACTCATGCTGGCCTCTGGTCGCCCCTACATCTGCTCTTCACAGAAGGGGACATGTTCTAAACTCCAGTGGCATTGTGTGACTCCTCTCCCTAAAGTCCAGGGGTCCAAGGTAAATGACTTTGCCCCTAATTGTGGCAGCTTAGTACCTGGCTTTTGACTCCTTTCGTTGTATTCACAGACCCAGAGGCTCATGTCTGATCACTGAGACATTCTAGCATTTCTTCTGATGAAAGGTATTCTTGCCCATCAAAAGAGACCCCTGGAGGACATATTTACTTTGTATTTTGCTAGACCTTGGATCCTTCCTGGTTGCAGCCATTTTACTAACAGCCCATCAGTACAGTGTCATTTCACAATGTAAGAAACCCCCTTGCTATGTAATGTAGCCGGACCTGGTGGCTGGCATATGCAGGAATAAGCACTCTGGCATTGGGATTGTGTGTCTGGGTATCCAATGTGAGGTGGGCAGGTGAATGCAGGCATGAAACAAACTCAGTGGAGAGATCTGCACTGAGGAACATCTGCGAGTGGACTCTGCGTGAACAGTGAATTGGGGAAGGCGGAAATCAGGGGCTGTCTCAGAGGAGGATGTCGGCCCTGGGAGAAACTGGGCTAAAGAGATTGCAGAGGAGATTTTGTATGGCCAGGGAAAAAGACTTCCAGACCTCCTTCTTTTCATTTTAAGACCATACTAACAGGACCAGAGAATTCTTTCCAAAATGATGAGAGGAAGGCTCTCACAGCTGTTTTCAGCTGGGGGAGGAAGCTGGATATCAGAACCAATTTTTGGGATTGCCATCATGAGTTTGGCTCCCTGCCACTTAGTAAGTCATTTACCAGAATCTTGGCGGCAATAGAAATGGAAGAAGTAAACTGCCCAGTTAAGACTTCTCCCGAGTGGAAGGCACCCAACAATGCAGCCACAGAAAAGACCTAAGTGTTGTGTCTAAGAGGGATCGTGCACTGAGGGGAAAGGTGGCCAGGATTGTTTAATACTAGGGGCCTGGAGACGTTAAGGCCAATGATAGCCTTCACAGAATTGGGTAGACCAGAGGCCAGAAAAGAGTGTCTTGAAAGCCAGAGGAGGTTTGGGTTTTATTGAGCTTGAAATGTGCCCAGTGAGAGTCATTTGAGGAGGAAAAGGTCTCAAGTGTTTTAGGTCAAAGCAAGAGCTACCTGCAGGAGCTGTGCAGGAGTGGGCTACATATTGCCATGAGAGACCTTGTGACACTATAGTTCCCTGATTCACAAGGTGCCCTACCTAACAAGTTGGCTGAGGAGTTCCTCCTACTGCGGGCTAGAGCACCCTGTGCGCAGAAATGGGTGAGCCTCCTGAAGGAGAGGAGTGAGCCCTCCATTGAGAATTCACTCTGTACTCTCAGGAAAAACACAAAAAGGCTGTTTAATACCAGTGTGCTTCTGGTTCTGGCTAGTGCTCAGAAACAAACCTGCCTCCAACAGAACATTTTCCTGACTTCTGTAGGCTTTAGGCTTATGCACTGCATTTATGCTGTCCCCCTTAAAGCTCTTTCAGGGGCTGGCCCCAGGTTACATCTTGAAGAATTTAAACAGAGACTAGAGGCTGCAAATCTGACCACTTGGGCAGATGGAAGATTTACACAGCAAAATAGTGCCAGAATTATTTCTTTTTCCTTCCTTTTTTCCTTCCTTCCTTCCTTCCTTCCGACCTTTTTTTTTTCCTTGCCTCCTGAGTGCTGGGATTAAAGGCCTACGCCACCACCACCCAGCTAGAATTATTTATAGTACATCAGTGTTGTTCTTTTCTAATAGTTGTTACCCAGGGTCATCTTGCCCACCTGGCAGAATTATGTTTTTCTCCAGAAAAGAACCGGAGCTTTATTTCAGGCCAGTACTTAAGGACTGCCCTACCTATCTTAAACTGCCTGTTAGAAGAGCATTCTCTGATATGGCAATGGGCTTAATGGCTGGTTGTAAATCAGTGTTCTCTCTTAGGTTATGGGCAATCTCCTGGAACAAACATTTATACAATTAGTTCTAACAAGCCTGGTTAGTACAGTACTGATCTTGGAGTCACTTTTAATAATTAATAATTTTATAATAATAAACATCAATTTAATAATAAAATTGATGTTATACACAATTTATTAATTTATTTATTAATAATTTTATTATTTATTAATTGTGTATAACATCAATTTTACTACTTCCAGTTTCTCCTACATACTCCCACTAGGTAGCTTCCAGCCTTCCCACACCAGCCACTGGCTCAGAGTCCCCAACGTGGAGGTCCAGCCCTTTCCTGGGTAACAGGCGGAGCCAGGAGCCAGCAGCACTCACTGGCAGAGAATGGCTCCAGTGGCTGCCGCATAAACCTCTGGGCGGGTCTCCATGGTGACTGGCACATACCATGCCCAATGGCGGCCGAGTGCCTGATTATTTCCCCCCGCCTCCCCAGGGATGGAAGCTTCTTTGATTGACAGCTTATCTTGGGGCACTGTTACGTAAGGGGAGGGACGAGCGGGGCCCCACCCGACCGGCGCTGATTTGATTGGCAGGACGGAGCGCCGACCCCCAGCTCCTCCCGGAAGCACGTCCTTGATGGACAGCGAGAGAGCCACTCGGCATGGGCGCCAGAGCGGAAGGTCCCAGGCTGGGGGTGTGTTCAGGGCGTGTCCCGCCGAGGGCAGGGCGGGGCGGGGCGCTGCGGGAGAGGAGCGGCAGGGTACCGCCTGCGCTGCGGCCAGAGATGCTGTCGGGCCGCGGTGGCGCTCGGCCGCCGGAGCTCCGCAACGAGGGCGTCCAGGTGAGCGTTCTGCCTCTTGGCCGGTGGCTACTGAGCGGTCGGAGCCGAGGGGCGATGTCCGCGGCTCGGCGTTCGGTTCTCTGCGAAGCGCTAGGGACTCGGGCGACGGCGGCCGCGCGGGGACACGGGGGCGGGGCCGCACCTGTGCGCTCCGGGCACCTGCTGCGTGGCCTCGGCGGACGGCCGTGGAAGTAAAGGGAGACGGGCTCGGTGGCTCTCCCGTCAGGCCTCTAGGCCCGCCCCGTGTCCAGTCCCCCGCCGAGGGGCTGCCGCGAAGCCCCAGGCCCTCAGCCTCGGCTGCAGACTCGCGGGCCCGGCCGGCCTCCAGCCAGCTTAGAGGCTAGGGCCGGGCACCAGCCTTGCATCACCTCGGGACAGGTTTGTCCAGATTCTCTACGTGCTCTGAGACGGGATTGTGCCCCGGGCGAAGGTGCCCGGCCCAGCCGTCGGAGGCCGGGGCTGTTTACTTTTTCTCGCTTCTGCCTGGTGGTCTCCTTACGTTGGATTTCGTAAACCCGATTTTGCGGTGATAGATTATAGTTATGCCCTTGTTAGCTCTATGTCACAGAGGAGGAACGACGGTAGCCAGGTCTCATTTGTCCTCTGCGGTGTACTCATTGTCGCACAGGTGAAGATGCCAGCTTTGCGCAGCTGTGTGGTGTAAAGCCACGCAAATCATTTTTTATTTTCGGGGCCAAAGGAGCTGAAACTCTGGTGGTGTTTTCTGAGAACAAGGATGGAGCCTGTTTTCCTTACACCTGTCATTACTATTGGACTACCATATGCTATGCTTATGGTAGATTGAGCATCTAACAAACTATAGTTTCTGAAAAGTTGGCTATGATTCCCTGTTCCTCTGTTGGTACTGGAACCATTTAGTTAAAAATGTCTCTGCGATGGATGATGGCACATGGTACCTCTTGGAGGAGCTGAGGACAATGTATTGAATTTTTAAAGGCAAAAAACAGACTTGAAAGGTACCTGCTGCCAGTATATTTGCAAGTAGGAAACCCCAAGTCTCAAGGGAGTGAAGGACCCCGATAAAACAGGTGTACCTAGACAGTGGAGTGCTGGTCCTGAAAAACCAATGTGGTTTTCATTTGAGCCAAACAGGAACATACCCCCCTCTCCCATTTTTGATACACTGTTGTGTCAGCCACCTTTAAATGCCGTTTGCAAAGTCTATTGACTGGCTGCAAGTCAGCAGGTTAGTGGGGGAAATGGGATCCCTGTCCTCTGGTTTAATTACGGGGTAACATTGTCTCCAGGAACGCACAACAGCAGTTATAGGCACTGGCTGGGATGGTGGAGCTAGTACCCACCCATGGATTCTATAGGCACACCAGGAAAAATAAATCACTGCTGCTTAGAGACATTCGGTACAGCACTGCCTCCTAGGAATTTGAGGAAATGTTGCTCAGTTTTGACTCTTTTCACCTTCAGCTTTTCACTGATAAACAGCAATTCGGATAAGGAGCCATACTTTAAAATACAGCAGAGCCTGGGGAGACAGTTTACAGCTGGTCTGGCTACTTCTTCCTTTGCAGCTTTGGATATTTAGTAACTGTTGCACTGACCTTGTGATCTTTGAAACCTACTTTCTTATTCATGACATGTCTCACTTGAACCTCCCTGAGTTTATACATTCACAATTCCTGAGTGCCTAATACTACAGAATTCCCATATTTTTAGTACTTTAAGCAAACCTTTTGCTAGGAACCTTTTGCCTATAACCTGTGCTTCCAGTACCTTAAGGCAGAGGCGGGAAGATTGGGAGTTTGAGGCCAGTCTGAGCTGTATAGTGAATTTTTGATCAACCTGGACCACATAATGAGCCCATTTTTGTTTGTTTTTGGTTGTTTTTTAAGGGCAGTTTCTCAGGGCTATAGGGACAGGATTCTATCTCTCCCTCCCTCCCTGATACAGGAATACTTGGACTCCCATGATTTTACTTATTTTGTTGGCTATTAGTTTTGTGCTCAGCACAACTCATTCAGGATGTTCTAGTCATCCACCTTGACCCTGGGACCAGTGACACAGTTTGTGTGTAGATGGTTAGTGCATCCTGAATACAGCCTTCCCATTAGTCAGGTCCCTGGATATAGTGCTAGTGGTGATGGCCATGTGGTCAAGCAAAGCTGAATCCTGTTCTTGACTATTCTAAATGCTGGTCAGGAATCTGGTACACAGGTTATTTTTTTGTTTGCTTTTGTTAGCAGGTATCACTATGTAATCCAAGCTGGCCTCCAACTTTGGATCTTCCTGCCTCAGCCTCCCAAATACTGGGCTTGGTATGCTTGGGTATGGTACATTTTCATATAGATATCTGAGGGTCTGAGAGGAACTGGAGCCTGAGTGTAAAGGTGTGGAGAAGGGATTATTATTCTTAGAGCTCTCTGATGACATTCCCAGGCCTCTCAATCTGTGGACTGCTTGGCAGGATGTGTGTCCAGAGTGCTAGGCTGTCTTAACTGTTGGTGTTGGCATGTTGTATTCTTTCCGTTTGTTTCAAGGCAGCGTGAATGCTGAGGACAGAAGAGTTTGATGCCACAGCACTGAAGTTCTTTGTTTGGAGTACACGTTATGAACCCTTTGTGGAGCATGTCTGCAAGCTCTGTGCGCAAAGTAGGTACAGTCAATAAATAGCAATTCTGATAGAAAGGAAGGCTAACAATATCTATTAAGGTCATTTGTAATCTTTAGCAAAAATTCCTGGGTTTTATTTCTGAGAAATCACTTTGTCCATTAAGGTCAGTTTCCCAGGCTGAGGTCCCATCCACAGAAGTTCCAGTGAATCACTATGCTAAGATTATTTCATTTAGTTTGTATGCATACTTGATGAAGTTTGTGATGTATTCTGAACATTTCTCTGTTGAAGTTTCAGGATTTGGTTTTTAGAGAAGCTTCAGTCATGTCAACTAAGGGTTGGGCATTAAATGATCTAAATAAAAGTTATTTCTTTTTGGAAGTAAAGTCTTGTTGTATAGCCAAGAATAGCCTAGTATTCTGTAGTCTCGGTTGCCTCAAACAGCAGTCTTCTTGCCTTAGCCTACTGAGTATTGGGACTATAAGTGAGCTATCATGCACAATTTTATTGTATAATCCATAATATATAGTTATATAAAATATATATGTGGGGTGGCAAAATGGCTCAGTGGATAAAGGCACTTGTTTGTCCTCTATATGTGTGCCATGGCACAAATGCACCCCAAATAAATATTGTAATAAAAAATCTTTAAAAAAATAAAAATATATTTTCCTCTTAGAAAACCTTAAAATATACAAGCAGTAACTTAAAAGCTCAATTCTACCTGTAGATAACATCATTGTTACCTTTTTTCCTATCACAACAAATTAAATAGCCTCTGTTGTATTTGAGATTAGGAAGGATCAGTGAGATGCTAGTTTTCTGGTCATTCTGAAGTCATTGCTAAGGAGAGCAGTGTATGCTAGTGATGCCAGTGTGGAAACGTAGCAGGATCATATGAGACCTAAGCAAGTGAGATAATAACAGCTTTGTTTCTTTGTTCCTGTCCCTCTGCTCACATTAGGGAGCAGCTAATTTCAGTCATCTACACTGTTAATTTTGAACTCCATTTCTTCAGTGTCTGCATGTACACGAGGCCTCTCTAATCTTGTTCATGTCTTTCCTGCTTCAGTTGCTTGTGAAAGGCTTGACTACATTGTTCTTATGGGATGCAGCTAATGGAATTCTTACTGCTTTAGTCATGCTTCAGTCTTACTTGCTCCTGCTATGACCTGCCTTCTCAAGGGATTTGAAGGCATCTTGATCGTGGTGTGAGAATTCCTATGTAAAGAATAACTCTAGCTTAGAAGCTGGGAGTTCTCAGTGTACTGCTTTCAGAGTTGCCATAAATGCTCTCACAATTTCATTCTGAACAGCGAGCTGAAGGTGAAGAGAAGACATTAGCAGGGGATGTGAAAAACAGCCCTCCACGAACTGCACCAAAAAAGCAGCTGCCATCTATTCCCAAAAACGCTCTGCCCATAACGAAGCCTACATCTCCAGCCCCAGCAGCACAGTCAACAAATGGCACCCATGCTTCTTACGGACCCTTCTACCTGGAATATTCACTTCTTGCAGAATTGTGAGTCCTTCATGGATGATGGTTCAATTATGAATGGTCCCCTGAAAGTTAAGATGAAGTCATGTCCCCTGATAGACATGTGAATTAATCCGAAGGCCCAGACTAGTCTCCACTTGCCCTACTTTGGGGAACAGGAAGGAAAGTCAGGGTTTTTGAGAATATACAGTGGATTAGGAACCTGGTAATTAATTCCTGTCTTCCTTTCTGTGAGGCATTTCACTGGAAGAGGTTCTATTTGATACCTGCTCTTGGGCGGAAGCTGGGTGGCATTCTCTTGGGTCACACACATTGGGAAGTATGGGCTCCGTTCTGGCTCTGATGTTTTAGGAAGCATTCTGACAGGAGTAATCACAGTAAGAAAGGGTCAGGAAGCCATGGTCAGTAAGTAGGTGGAGGAACTAGAAACACTGACTTGGAAGGAAAAAACTAAAGAGTGCTTAATTTATTTATTTATTTTTAAGATTTATTTATTACATACAGTGTTCTGTCTACATGTATGCCTGCACGCCAGAAGAGGGCACCAGATCTCATTACAGATAGTTGTGAGCCATCATGTAGTTGCTGGGAATTGAACTCAGGACTTCTTAACCACTAAGCCATCTCTTGTATGTGTGTTGGGGAGGCAATGCTATGGCACAGGTGGAGCCAGAGGACACTTGTAGTCACTTCTCTTCTTACTATGTGTGTCACAGGTATTGAACTCACATCATCATGCTTGGTGGCAGGTATCTTTCCTGACTGAACCATTTTTCCAGCTCTCAGAAAAGTACTTACAATGTTGTTTTGTATGTTGGAAGGTCTGTTATTAGAAGACTTACTTGGTACAACTCTCAAAGGTTCCTATCAGTGGCAAAAGGTTGAGCTGCATAACTTGTCACAAGGTCACCCTTCCACTGAAGATATGCCTGCCTAAGGAGAGCAGGGGCTGAGTACTGTGCAGTGTGCCAATAGTGATGACACACTGCTTCGCACATACAAGAATTCAAGTACCATGTAGTTTGGATCACTTGTTAAAGGGATAAAAAATCTGGAGAATTCTCAGTTTCTATAGTCTTTAAGTTTCTCTGTAGTTCAGTTATTTTCAAAGCATCTTGATCACTCCTCCCAGGGTACAGAGGCTGTAATGGCCAGAGGAATGAGGTCCCAGTGTAGTGGAGCAATGGTCTCTTCAGCTCTGTAATGGATGCCTTGTGTTTTGTGGCTGAGCAGTGAGGTGGACAGGCTCCTATTGTTCTGACTGAAAGTTGGCTATGTGTTAAACACAAGAAAGACTGCCTTCTCTGACAAACATCTCTGTGGGTTAGCTCTGTCTGCTAGCCATGCTTCTGTAGACCAGCTACATCTCATGGACTTGAAAAGGTAATGGATCCACCTGGTACAGTTGCAGTAAGACTGTTGTGCATTCAAGGTCAGCCTGAAGTACATAAGTAACTTAGAAAATGCTTATAAGTAAATGTGAGGTATTTAGGGAATAAACAAGGTCCAGAGGCTGGAGTGGTGGCTTAGCAGCTAAGAGCATTTGTTATTTTTGTAGATAACCCAAGTTCAGTTCCCAGCACCCACATGGTAGCTCACAGCCATTTGTTTCTATAATGCAGAGGATCTGATGCCCCTCTCTGGCCTCTGGGGACTGGGGACTCACATGGTACATTTACATACATGGCAGGCAAAATGCTCAGGCACGTAGTAAAAATCAATCTTAAAGCCGGGTGTTGGTGGCACACGCCCTTAATCCCAGCACTCGGGAGGCAGAGGCAGAGGCAGGAAGATCTCCATGAGTTCGAGGCCAGCCTGGTCTACAGAGTGAGTTCCAGGACAGCCTCCAAAACAATACAAAGAAAT